AGGTCTGCCTCTCATTCTCAGTTCTTTGCTGGCTTTCATCCAGAAACATGATCTGATTGATTTGAGATGTAAAGTCATGAAGTGGAAAGACCATAGGTCTCTTCTCTATCAGAAGGTCTGGATGCAAAGTATGACCATTCAGGGCTTGTGTTTTGTTATTTCTGAGCTGAGAGGGCTAGGCAAAATGAATTTTATCAACTGGAATTCTGAAAGGACAGCAGTACATCCAGTAAAGAGGACTCATCAACTTCCTGATGTGATCCCTAGTTAGCTTTTTCCTGCAGTATCTGATGCCCCTTGTCCCACTCAGTTCTCTGGAGTTATCATCCTCAACTTTTCTTAGACAAAACCTGGCTACAAACTTGGCTTTATGGAGCTGGGGTTGTGGATCAGTGGCAGAGTGCTTCCCTCGCACATGTGAGGCATTGGGTTCGATCCTGAGCACCACTTTTTTGTTGTTTATTTATAAAAATATTTATAAAAATAAATAAACAACAACAAAAAAATCTCCATCTCCATCAGTAATTTCCAATTACTATTGGTACTGACTAAAAACATGGTTTGAAGAATTACTCTAAAACATGATAATTATTTCTAACCTCATTGATTACAGCAGATTTGTGTTTGTTAATATGGGAAGTCAAGGAAAACTTCATCTGTATAATTTGTTTTAAAATATACCTATTGGTATATTCCTGATATAATGGAAAATATTCAAATAATTCTTGGGCAATTTAAAAATATCTCAAGCTCCTTTTATGTCTAAAAACGCCAGCATTCTATAGTAATCAGGGATAAAAATGCCAGCGTTCCATAGTAATCAGGGGTAAAATGAGTGAGGGATACCCACATGGCCCTTTTCAGCATTCAAAATCAAACTTTTCTTTCTGTAATATATAAACTTAACTTTTTAGATAGTGAGAAGCAGGTGGACAGACTGCTGCTATTTTTTGAAAGATTAAGGCCAAGATTAAGAAACAAAAGTAAAAATCTCCCAAGCATCTCATCTGTTGGAAGCAAGACATTATTGAAACCTTATCCCTTTGCTCTGCATCAGTGGAAGCTGTAGTTTCCCTTGTTAAGTGACTTCTGGATAAGTTAAACCAATAGATGGTGATAACAGAAGACTGAAAGATAGAGGAGGAAAAAAACAGGGTATTTCCCCCTCCTTCCATCCCAGTGACAGCTCCATCGGTGGCTCAATGTTCCCTGACTAGCTCCTACCAACCTAGTTCCCTCCATCACCCTGTTTCATGACTGGAGTCCATCATCAAGGTGGTAGTGGCATCCTTCTATTGCCAATCTCTGGATTGTTTCATTGTTCCCTTTTGGGCCTCTTATCTCTTCCCATCAAGTGAGTAAAAAATTTTCTGTATTATAAATTCCTTCTAGACAGGCATGGTAGTAAATACCTGTAATCCTAGTGACTCAGGAGGCTGAATGGGAGGATCACAAGTTTGAGGCCAGCCTCAGCAATTTAGCAAGACCCTGTCTCAAAATTTTAAAAAATTAAAGGAATGGGGATATATATAGCTCAGTGGTATGGCACCCCTGAGTTTAATCTCCAGTACCACAAAAAAAAAAAAAAAATTTCCTTCTGCATACTTTCTGGTTTTCATTTTCCTGACTTGATCTTAATTATAAATTTCTAATGTCACATATATTTATCAGTGAACTTATGATAGGTTAGAGAGTCAAGAATTAAATAGCTGGGCATGGTGGCGCATGCCTGTAATCCCAGAGCTCAGGAGGCTGAGACAGGAGAACCACAAGTTCAATGCCAGCCTCAGAAACTTAGTAAGGCCCTATGTAACTCTATGAGACCCTGTCTCTAAATAAAAATAAGAAAAAGGGCAGGGAGTGGTGGCCCAGTGGTCAAGTGCCTCTGGATTCACTTCCCAGTACCAAAAAAAAAGAATAGATGCAAAAGCACTAGTAAAATGTGGACATTCTGAACAGTTACTAAAAGTCACTAAATTGTACACTTAAAACAGGTAGGTTTTATATAAAATTGTACCACAATAAAATTGTTTTTAAAAATATACCAGAAAAGTAGCTGGGCATGATGTTATGCACCTGTACTTCCAGCTACTCAGGAGCTAAGGCAGGAGGAGGAGGATCACATCAGCCCAGGAGTTTGAGACCAGCCTGAGCCAAATAGCAAGAAAAGAATTAAGTAATAAAAAAAATAAGTAATAAAATACCCAGAAAAGAAATTAAATAAAATGAACAGTGAGTAGATTAGACCAGTGATCTCCAAACTTTTTTTAATCACGCTTCCCAACAATAGAAAACACAATTTGAGTTTACACCTCCATATTTGTGGGTTTTTTAGTTTAAATTGCATACCTGTTGAAAAACTGTTCATTAAAGATATTTTCTAAAATAACTATAAAATAGAGATTCAAACAGATGGAAACACATGTAAATAAGAATTCTTGGGGCTGGGACTAAAGCTCAGTGGTAGAGTGCCTGCGTCGCACATGTAAGACCCTGGGTTCAATCCTCAGCACCACATAAAAATAAATAAAGATATTGTGTCCATCTATAACTACAAAAAAATTTTTAAATAATAAGAGTTCTTCTGATTTCCTAGTGGTATGGGGATATAGCTCAGTTGGTGGAGTGCTTGCTTCGCATACATAAGGTTCAATCCCCAGAACAACAACAACAACAATAAATGAAGAAGAAAAAGAATTTTTAGAATTTCCTGCTTTAACTATAGTGGTTTGTTTGATACCTCACCTAGAATGCTCTGCAGAGGACTTCAGAGCAAGGAAGACAGAGGAGTTCTTTCTTTTTTCTAAGGGCTTAAATTAATCTATTGTAGCAGTAATGCCACTATTTTTACATTTGCATAGCTCCTTCAGTTTTAGGTGTTCTTCATCTGTGTTATCTCCTTTGCGCTCTCACCTAGAGAAGCAGAGTGGATCAAAATAGGAGACAGACTGGGGGAAAAACTTGAATGCCTGACAAGAGGTGCTTGGAATTGGTCATAATAACAGTGCTGCCATATCAGATGTGTCACCTCACAGAGCAGACATTGGCAGTCCAGAGTCCCCCCAATAATTGGTTTCCTCAGCATGTCAGGGGAAGAAAGGTGTGGAGGTGTACCGTGCATGAGCTTCCCACTCTGGATTCATTTTTCAGCATTTCAGAACCCAGAATTAGTAGGCGTAGTCAACACTCTCCTGCCCTTTTTCTTAGACTGCTCCTCCATCTTGTGTGCTAAAGTTCCATGAGACTATTATTCATGTATTCAGTTTCTAAAATGATGTTTTGATACATTTATCTGGCTCTCCCAGCCAAGAGCCATGTGTGTAGCTCTTATCGCTTCAGAGTACTTTCTGTGGTTCCTGTATCTTTACTTCTCCTTCACAGTCTGAGCTCAGCTAGTCATATTTTATATTCCATTTCCAGAGAACAAGGCTGGATTTCATACTGTTCCTACTTTCTTCTTGACCCTTCCCCCACTTGCTGAAGTCTGCCCTTCTCACTGCATGAGCATCCTGAGAACTACATGGATTGGCTGACAGGACAAGACTTTATATAAAACTTTCCTCTATAGAAAGTACTGTGAGGGGTTGATAAGGTAGCCAGTGAAACAAAGGAAATTATACTATTTAATGTCATTTTCCTGATGAAAAAGCTCCAGGTTTGCCCAAGGTCCTAAGACGGTCAAATAATGGCTCTAGTCCCTGGGGAGGTTATAGCAGCCTGCCAGATAGGGAGCAAAAAGAGTTCTTGAGTTCTCAGTGGCATTATGGGTATTACTCCTACCTGAACTGAGAGATGGGAATCTATTTTTAAGATTGTGAATAATGCAAAAGGGGTCATATTGAATCATTGGTCTCATATCGGGTAATGTCATAGATTCATGTACAAAAATTGGGGCAGAAAGTATTTCAGCAGGTAGGAGAAGATAAGTTTGACCTGGTGGAGGCTATGATAAATTGTAGATTACTCTGACACAGACCTCTGCTTCTATGACATGGTGGGCCCCATTCCTGGTGGAGGGAGAACATAACTGGTTCCTAGTACTAAGACTTCTTGGCAGTCAGAAAACCAGAGTTCATGTCCAATTCTTAACTGCCTCACAAGCAGGCTATTCAACTTCCTCTGTAAAAGCTCCCTTCAAAGATGTTTATGAATTTAAATGAAGTATCTTTGTACTTTTTAATCAAAGCATGGTTATGGCTGGGTGTGGTGGTACACATGTGTAATACCTGTAATTTGGGAGGAGCACAGGTTCAAGGGCAGCCCAAGCGATTTAGGGAGACCCTGTTTTAAAAATAAAACATAAAAAAGACTAGCATTGTAGCTTAGTGGTAGAATGCTCCTGGTTCAAACCTTTAAAAAGTGGGGGTGGCATGGTTACTTTATTTATTTATTTATTTTTAATTTTGAGATGGGTCTCACTATGTTGCCCAGACAATCCTCATGTCTCAGCCTCCCAACAGGTTGGATTACAGGCATGCACCACTGTGCCCCAGCCTTTTTGTTATTATTATTTTTCTTAGGTGTAATTGGACACAATGCCTTTATTTTATTTATTTATATGTGGTACTGAGGATTGAACCCAGGGCCCACACACGCTAGGCGAGCGCTCCACCACTGAGCCCCAACCCCAGCCCTGTGCCCCAGCCTTTTACTGTTAGTCGTAGAAAGTGCATTATACTGTCTTTGTTCAAGTTCATTGTTAGCACATCTGTCTCCCCAATTTATGGACAGCGCCTTGTCTCATTGATGCTGTTACTTCCCCTCAGCAACAAGCACAAAGCTCTGAAAGTATACTGTATGGAATTATCCATTGTTTCACATGTAAATTATTTTATGTGTAAAGCTTAATCTCTTTAGCTGAAATCTCAGTAACTCAAGGGTAGGGAATCCCCCCAACTTCCAATGTAATTCCTGTCACAAAACCAGACATACATCTATGGGATCTTAGGGAGAAGTTTGCTCTTGAACAAATGTTCAAATTGTGTGCTTCTCACTTGCAGTGATTTCCCAGATGATCCAGGAGTGCAGTGGGACACAGAGCGTGTGGCCAACATTCTCCTCCAGCATGTAGAGGTCAATGACATCAACCTGGTAAGTATTCACATCCCTAGTGAAAAGCCTGGGATTCCTGTCCTGTCTCAACAGTTGGTTTCTGCAACTTGTCCTGTGACTGCCTTCCTACTTCCAGTTTTGCTCCAAGGCCACTCCATAAAAAAACCAAAACTTCCAGTGCTCTCTTCTAAACCTGCAAGGAACAAACACACCTTTTAATTCTTCTAGATCTTTTGTGAAACCAAATAGCTGAATTATCAATGTTCTGATAGAGGCAGAGGTTTTTTCAAATGATGTCCTCCCTCCCCCACCTCTGCCTCACCTCCTGAAAGCTTAGAGTCCCAAGAGTCCCACTGTGACTCTCATTGATAAAGAATTTCACCTTGTGCCAAGCAGTTTCACATTTAGAATATCATTTTCACTTTTAAGGTAAATGTTATAATTTTAACTTAACATTGAGGAAATGGAGGTTTTCAGAGCCCAGACAGCTTGACCAGTGTAGGCAAGTGATGAAGGTAGGAATTTTTGTTTTTGTATTTTTGCAGCACTGGGGATTGAACTCTGGGTGCACTACCACTGAACTACATCCCCGGCCCTTTTTCTAATTTTTTTAATTTCAAGACAGAGTCTTGCTAAGTTGTGGAAGCTGGCCTTGAACTTGTAATCCTCCTAATTTAGCCTCCCGAGTTGTTGGGATTACAGGCATGTAAAACCAGTAAGATTTTTTGTTTTGTTTTTATTACTACTACTACTACTACTACTACTACTACTAATAATAATAATAATAATAATAATACTTCATGGGTTAATATCTAAAATTCCACCATTTAAAGCCCTTCTCATTTGATTTAAATTTTGGGTAATGTTCTTTAAAAGATGATTCCTTGCTGGGTGTGGTAACACAGGCCTGTAGTCCCAGTGATTTGGGAGAGTAAGGCAGGAGGATTGCAAATTCAAGGCCAACCTCTGAACTTATGGGAGCCCCTCGGCAACTTAACAAGACCCTGTCTCAAAATAAAATATAAAAAGTGCTGGAGATATAGCTCAGTGGTAAAGCACTCCTAGATTCAATCCCCAGTACAATAAATGAATGAATGAACAGATAAATAATGAGTTCTGCCTGCAGAGAAATATATTAAGCTTTTATAAATGATGAATTCATCATTGTAAACTAGACCTTTATTATTTTTTAATATTTTTTTAGTTGTCAATGAACCTTTATTTTTTAAATTTATTTATATGCAGTGCTGAGAATCGAACCCAGTGCTTCACACATGCTAGGCAAGCACTCTGCCACAGAGCCACAACCCCAGCCCCATCGACTGTTCTTAAATGAGGATTTTCACTAGTATATTAATCAGATTGTTTTTTTGTGGTCCTGGGAATTGAACCCAAGGGCCTATTTATTTTTCATTTTGAGACAAGGTCTCTCCAAGTTGCTGAGCTGGTCCCTAGCTTGCCATCCTCCTGTCATCCTCAAATAGCTGGATTATAGGTATGTACTACCATGGCCAGTGAGACTGTTTTTGTTTCGATTTGTGTTGTGTTGTTTTGTTTGTGTTGGGCATTGAACCCAGGGCACTTTACCAATGAGCTACATCCCCAGTTTTTTTCATTTTTTAAATTTTGATACAGAATCTTGCTGAGGGTCTTGCTGCTTTGCTGAGACTGGTAACTTCCTGCCTCAACTTTCCACGTTGCTAGAATTAGAGGCATGCTCCACTGTGCTAGACCAAACTGTTTTCTAATGACAAAAATATAACTGAAACCATATACATAGACAAAATATCCATCTTACTGGCTCATTCTGAGTCACTTAAAGGTTAAGAAATAAGTAGGCCTCAAGATCCCTAACCCCGCCAACTTGTTCTTCCCCTCTTTCTTTTCCTGAATGGAAAAAAATGGTTTTTATGACTTTTCAGGCCTATACATCCCACTGTCCCTTCCCAGAGGATATAAGCATGAAAGCAGTGTTAGATGCATGCATTAGGAGTCACATGCCCAATTGTGCTGACAGCAGCTGGCCTTGTTCCTCTTACCCACAGTTCCCCACCTTCATAGTCAGAACTTCTCAGGGCCATAACCTAGATGTTTAGACAGAGCTGATCTTCAGGTTGGTCCTTCAGCCTTGCACACCATTTTCCCATGGTAGTGGCTTCCCTAGAACAAATCCCCAAATACTATCCCTCCTCTGCTCTCTCAGTGTATAAGAGGTACTGGTCTCCCCCAGTCACTCCTGGTTTCAGGATTTACTCTCATCTTATTCAACTTGGAATTCAAGGTCCTCCCTGATCTGGCCCTTACTTTAATCCAGGACACTGGAAATTATAGTTTATCCTTGCTGAAGGGCAAAGTTTCTTTTTCAGAACATGTTGCAGCTAACCTGGGTCCTGAGTATTTGGGGTTGAGGAATCTTGAAGGCACAGACAGCTCGGCATCCCTTTCTTGCTTTCAGAAAAGTTTCCTATATTTGAGTCCCAGAAAAGTGATTTGTGATCCAGAATCCATTCTCCAAGAAACCTTCCCTGACTTCTTCAGCCCTCTTTGGGATTCCCACAGTATTTGCAGTTTGCACTGAACATATGGCATATTTCGCTGTTTATTCTTTAAGATGCAGACTTATATCTTGTAAATTAGATTATAAAGTCCATGAAGGCCAGGACCATCTTTAAAAAATCTCCAAAAACTGGCACAAATCCCAAGAGAGAGCTCTCATTGCCTGGAGGTCTTTCCTGAACGTGTGCTGCTGTTCACATTCATTCAGTAAAGGGCCTTTATTGTCAGGAGAATCTTAATTTAATTGCAGTCAACAAGGAAATCACTTTAAAACAGCTCAAAAATAATTAATAAATTATGTGCAATATCCTCTGCTGTTAATAAGAAAATTTAAGTTATCAAATGCACTTCCTTGGTCTGAACTTACTGTCACAATGGAGGTATAGGAGCATCCTAAAACAGCCAGTGTGGCCATACCCAGCCATAGTGGAGCTAAGTATGAGTTTGTGTTCAGCTCCTAGTGACACAGTTAAGTGCTCTTTTATATAATCCCACAGCCCCTGAAGGACAAGGGCTGAGGTGTTAGTTAGTACTAGGCAGGTGATAATTCTCAGGGGCAGTGTCCTGTACCCGGATGAATACATAAATCTTGGGAATCTCCAGGAGCCCTATTCAAACCAAAAGTACTAACTGCATAGCAATAGACAGTGAAGCACCAGTAAAGAAACATAGGTAGAAGTGGAGAGCACAGCGCTGAGAATTTATCACCTGATCCATGCCAGAATAAGACCAAAAGCACCCTTGTCTGAAGCAAAGCTGTCTCTGCAGCCCTCACTATGGTGTGATGACAGGAATTGGTTCCATCTGGCCCCATGTCGATCATATGCTTGCAAGCTGCCTGCTCTGCTCACTGAAGGAATATCATGAGAACCACAAAGAGTGGCTCTTTGTGGATAGGGCTCTTGAAAGTGTAAAGTTGCCCTCCACAGAAGGCAGCTCAGGAGGTTGGTTGTTGTCTTTTCTGGGTGTCAGGCTGGCTAGATACTGCACCTAACTTCTCCTTTAACCCTTAATCAGTACATATCTGTTAAATGCCTGTTATGGGACATTTACTGTGATGAGAACTAGGATTACAACAGCAAACTAAATCCACCTACTCCGTGCTCCTTTACAGCAGGGTGTCTCAACTACGGCATTATTGACATTTGGGACTGGATAGTTCTTTATTGTGGGGGCTACCCTGTGCATTGTAGATGTTTTGCTACATCCCTGACCTCTACCCCTTAGATGCTGGTAGCAACCCCTCTCCTCAGCTGTCACAATAAAAACGTGTCCAGATATCGCCAATGTCCATGGGTAAAACCATCCCCAGGTTAAGAACCAGTATCTTAGAAACCAGCATGCCCTAGGGCTGTGAGTATTCACTCAGTTGTAGAGTACTGGTCACCCCCACACACATGAGGCCCTGGATTCAATTCCTAGCACCACAAGAAAAAAAGAAGAAGAAGTAGAAGTAGCCAGACACAGTGGCCCATGCCTGTTATCCCATTGGCCTAGGAGGCTGAGGCAGGAGGATAGAGTTCAAAGCCAGCCTCAGCAACTTAGTGAGGCCCTAAGCAATTCAGCAAGATCCTGTCTCTAAATGAAATACAAAAAAGGGCTGGGGATGTGGCTCAGTGGTTGAGTGACCCTGAGTTCAATCCCCTGAGTTCAATCCCCGGTAACCCCCGCAAAAAAAAAAAAAATAGAAGAAAGAGGAGGAGGAAGAAACAAACTGAGGTATCCCACTGATATCTTTTTTATTTAGGGAGGGCAGCGAGTAAGATTTCCTTTGATCCAAAAGTTCTGCAAACTAGGAAAGAAGAAAAGTGGATGGAGTTCTGTGAAGAACTACAAATATGGGGCTGGAGCTAGGGCTCAGCAGTAGCCCACTTGCCTGGAATGTGGGAAGCACTGGGTTTAATTCTCAACACCACGTATAAATAAATAAAACACAGGCCTATCAACAACTAAAAAAAAATTTTTAAGAAATATTGTCATGTAAAAATCTACAAAAGTCCAGGGATGTGGATACAATCAGCTCAGCCCAGCTTGCAATAGAAAGGAGGAAGGAGGGCTGGGGTTGTAGCTCGGTGGTAGAGCACTTGCCTGGCCTATGTGAAGCACTGGGTTCAATCCTCAGTACCACATAAAAATAAATAAAATAAAGGCATTGTGTCCATCTACAACTAAAAAATAATTTTAAAAAATAAAGAAGGAGAGAGAGTATAAGATGATATAGGATGAAGAAGAAACAAATACCTTGGAAAGTTTCAAAAATAACATGGTCTGGAGAAATAGCTCAGTACAGTAGTAGAGCATGTGCTTAATATATGTGAGGTCTTGGATTTGATCCCCAGCACCAAAAAAAAAAAAAAAAAGCAATTGTGCTGAATTCTACATGGCCCCAAATCCCCTAGCCAAGGGAATGGCCTCCAGCATTCCTCCCCATACCCATAATCCTCTCTCTATTCACTTGTTTTGGGGTACTAGGGATTGAACCCAGGGGTGCTTAACCACTGAGCAATATCCCCAGCCTTTTTTTTATATATTTTGTTTAGAGACAGGGTGTCTTGCTAAGTTACTTAGGGCCTCAATAAGCGCTGAGGCTGGCTTTGAACTCGCGATCCTCCTGAATCAGCCTCCAGAGCTGCTAGGATTAGAAGCATGCACTACCACGATTGGCTTTTCATTGGCTATTGAACCTAGGAGCTCATGCATGCTAAGCAAACACTCTACCACTGAACTATTCCCTCAGCCTTTTTGAAATTTTGAGTCAGGGTCTCACTAAGTTGCCCTGACTGGTCTCTAGGTTGCCATCCTCTTTAGCCTCCCAAGTAGCTGGGATTACAGTCAGAATTGTCAGAATTCCTTCTGATAACAATCTAGCTCCACCTGATGGTGACAGACTTAGAGTTAATACACTCTAGCACTGTCTGCTGTACGTTTTTAAAACGCTTTCATGTGACTTTGTTTTATCTGTACCTCCACCAATTTCACACATGAGGAAGTCAAGACATTCCAAGATGAAATAACTTCTATTAATACAGTTCTGTGATTTTTCCCAAGGAACTTTGCATAAGTAGTATCAGAGATGATTAGACTTGAGTCTCCCCTGGTTGGGTTACATGGAAAAATCATGATCAGAACCGGAAATTAAACTTTTTTATTTTAATAAATTATTTTTTAGAACAATGCTAATGTTTTGTTGTTGTTGTTTTATTTTTGTTTTTTACCATTCTGGAGGTTAAAATTCCCAAAATCAGTTTCACTGAGCTAGAGTTAATGTGTTGGCTTACAACCCCATCCTCCATAGCATATCATGCCAATTTCTGCTTCTCTTAACATATGGTCTTCTCCTCTGACTTCGATTCTCTTCTATGTCCTTCTTATGAGGACCACTGATATTACATTTGGGCCCACCAACAAATCTAAGGTCATCTCCCCATTGCAAAATCCTTAACTTGAATTACATTTGCAAAGTTCCTTTTGCCACATGAGATAACATTTACAGGTTTCAGGGATTAGGACATATTTGAGGGGTGATTATTCAGCCTAGCAAGAAATCTTACTCCAGAGCACTCATTCACACCAAGTCCTCAGAGACTGATAACCATTCTAAAGATAACTTGTCTTTAACTGGGATCTGAGCTTTACATTAAAAGGTTAAGATTTTAAGGGCTGGGGCTGTAGCTCAGTGGTAGAGCACTTTCCTTGCACGTGTGAGGCACTGGGTTCCATCCTCAGCACCACATAAAAACAAACAAATGAATAAAGGTATTGTATCCATCTATAACTAAAAAATATTTTTTAAAAAGGAAGAAGACAAAAAATTAAAAAAGAAAAAAAATTTAGTTGTGGATGGATACAATACCTTTATTCATTTATTTGTTTTTATGTGGTGCTGAGGATCGAACCCAGCACCTCACACGTGCGAGGCAAACACTTTACCAATTGAGCTACAATCCCAGCCCTTTTTTCTTTTTTTAAAAGGTTAAAATTTGGGCTGGGATTGTGGCAGAGTGGTAGAGTGCTTGCCTCGCATGCATGGGGCACTGGGTTCAATCCTCAGTACCACATAAATAAATAAAATAAAGGTATTGTGTCCATCTACAACTGAAAAATTTAAAGAAAAAAAATGATTAAGATTTTAGAATGACAGTTCAGGGATTGGGCTGATGTTCGGGAGAGGTGGAAGTAGATGCTTCTAATAGGAATGCTCAGTTTTGATTGACCCACTCCAGGTAAACCCTTCCTATGCAGAGTAATTGATCCCAGGGAAACTGCAATAAGGGCCTGAGACAAAGGGAAGGAGAGATGGGCTCTATCAGAGAGCTTTACAGATTTCATGAAGAGGGTAGAACCCCTGGCAGAACCCTTCTCTCTGGTAGCAGGTAACCCTCTTGAGATCACTCTGAATTTACCTAATTCAGATTCATAATGTCCCAAAGAATAGATTCTGAATCTCAGGAGGGCCAATCAACATGTTTTATAATTAAAATAGAAAGACCTCCAGGCTCAATAGTATGTCCCTTATAATCCCAGCAATTTGGGAAGCTGAAGTAGGAAGATAATAAATTCAAGGCCAGCCTGGGCAATTTAACAAGACCCTATCTCAAAATAAAAAATTTTTAAAAGATTTGGAAATGTAGCTCAGTGATAAAGCACCCCTAGGTTCAATCCTAGTTCTAAAAATAAAAGCAAAGAAAAAAAAAAAGAGCAAGAGTAAATCCCTTCTCAAACTATTCTATGTCCTGTTCCAAGTCCCTTCGTCTATGCTATGGCCATCTTTCCTTGGGAAGAGCCTGCCTCTTTCCATCACCTCCTAACCAATCATTCTATTTCTTAGTCCTGTTTTCTATATTTCTTTTATTATTCAGATTACTCTTTGGATTGTCTTATTAAAATATCATTTGGTCTTATTAATCCATCTGTGCTGAATTGAATTGTAAGAACCTAGACTGAACTTGGAGTTAATAAAGAGATGTTGACATAGCTATAAAAATGGAAACAGAGACAGTCTATGAAAAGAAAAGCCTTTTCCATGAACCCAACCCCAGAGTGGACATTGGCCCTCTTGAAGCTTTTGTACCTGCAGTATCGCACAAGGAAAAGAACCTAAATAAATCAGGCAACGTCTACCTGAACAAAGGTCATACAAGAGCCAGCCAGAAAAACTATATGCTCATAAATGACTAAGCAGAAAAGTAAAAAGATATTTCAAATCCAAGTTTCTGTCATGGTGAATTCTACTCTGCTGCACTGGCCAGGAGTACACGGTAAACAGTAAAACCCATAAAAATAGTCTCCATGGTATAATCAGCCAAACCAATAGTTACACATCATTGATATGCTTAGAAATCAGTTCAGCTATTCTCAGAATTTGAAAAATGCCAGCGTTCTTCTCTCTCCTTTACTTTCCAAGGGAATGGCAATAGCTACTTGGAAGCTGAGGCAGTAAAAGAAACATTCTGACAGTTTTGAGTGAAAACCCTGTCTGTCTCTACAGGTGGTGACTTTTGATGCAGGGGGAGTCAGTGGTCACAGCAATCACATTGCTCTGTACACAGCTGTGAGGTATGATTCACTGGGTAATGGAGGTGGGACAGGGTTTGTCCATTTGCTTAGGAATCTCAGTTGCTAAAGCACTTTATCCCTGGTTATCTGAGCTCTAGGAAATATACTACTGAATTATACCACCATCACTGGTTGTGTTGCTCACTATATCTCACTAAGTCCTCTTTATGAGAAATCTCTAATAAGTCTCAGTAGGAATGTTTACCTCCTAAAGAAGTGAATTTTTTAAAATCTCCTGGATACTGCAAATGGGATAATTGATTTTATTTCTCTCTTTACTTCAACCAGAGAAAACTTCAGGGCCAATTTTGCAACCTCTGAACCACATGAACAGGACTTCAAGGAATGAGTCCTGTGAGTCAGGTGCCCCCAGCTTCATCTTCTTCCTCTCACTTCTTTATTTCTTTCTTTATTTATTTAGGTGTAGATGGACACAACACAATGCCTTTATTTTTTATGTGGTACTGAGGATCAAACCCGGGTCCCGCCCATGCTAGGCGAGTGCTCTACTGCTGAGCCACAATCCCTGCCCACTCTCACTTATTTTGGCATCTTTCGTTACAGATTTTGCTACTATCTCTAGTCTTTCTTTGTAAAAGGAGAATATCCACATCTGATAGTAAATCTCATTTGTCCTTCAAAGCTACCCTATTTTACTGATATTTGTCTTCATTTATCCTATAAAACTAAAATGGAACCTCAAAGATACAGAGTGACTTAGGATCATGCAAACACAGACCATGGTAAAGTGCTTCTGCTAGGATCCAGATCAGCAGAGTGGTGGTCTTATCTTAGATACTGAAGAAGGAAAAGGACAACCAGAAATGAAAGAGTTGTTTTATAACCTTCTTCTATAGGTGTTCAATATTCTCAGTCTGGAGCAGTGAAATATTTGAACTTGGAAATGACCTCACAGTCATTAAGTCCAACTGTTTCATTTGACCGAGGCAATGAAGCGGTATGCCCAATGCTACAAGTCAACAATGGCAGAGACAGAACCAAAATCCAGGAATCCTGGTTCTCCACTCAGTCTTCTGGCGGAAACATGTCAAAACAAATCTACATTAGGACCCTCAAGCTTTTCCTTAAATCATACATCACGTAGCGGAAGATGCCAGAAATTTTTGTTCATATATTCTTTGCAGACAGCTCTCCCTGATTCTTTGGAATCAAGGGATTCTAAGGAATCAGGGGAGGCCAGACCGTTCTCCCTCCTGTAAAGACTATTCTCTTCCTGTCCCACCCAGAGGCCGTTCTCCCTCCTGTAAAGACTATTCTCTTCCTGTCCCACCCAGAGGCCACAACTATAAAAATGTGTTGTTCATTGCATTAGGTCCATTCAGATTCAGGAGAGACCCATCCCCCCATTATAGCCAGAGATGCAATTTTTTTAAAGATACATGGAAAAATAGGCAACACAGAAATGGTCTTTCTAACCATGTAATTACCCTGAACCTTGGGCTTCCAAGACTGGTATGCATGCAAGCTGCTTGGAAACTGGAATAATGTCTCCATTCACACTCCAGGTGCACACTGAGCCTTGTGACTTCTCACCAAGTATACAGATTGTACCAGAGAGAGGATCAGATTAGGTCTCCTGCAAACAAACCAAGAGCACTTTAGCAGTCAGGGTTGCCTGGGCACTTGAGGTTGACTTGACTGGTTCTAACCCTGGTATAGTCACCACTGAAGTGGGGAAAGCAGGGAAGGCTTCATTCCAGACAGAGAACCCAGAGGGACAACTTTCTGCTGACAGAAATTCCCAGGACCATTTTCCTTAAGTGGCTGGAGTACTGCAGGCTCTCAACACTAGTGCAGGTCTTCTCCCTGCAATAGTGGAAGTCACTGTGCTTCAGATAAAACAATTTGTGGACACACCCACCATCTTTGAAAACTGTTTTCTCCATAGTCACCTGCCTGCTAAATTCACCAGATCCATTTTAGTGTGTTCACTTGTCTGGGCCTTTCTGTGACATTTGGCTCCTCCTGTCACTCATCAAAATGCTGCTTTGACTTACCTGGCACTAGCTGGTCTTCCTTCTCTCTGACCTTTCTGGCTACCTCTCAGTCTCTTTCTGGCTTCCCTCCCACCTGAGGCCCCTCCTTGTCCCTGTCCCTATGGCTGTAAGAGCCACAAGTGCAATTCCCAGGTTGTGTACACTTCAGTCTCACCTCTTCCCTTGGATATCCCCGAGCTCTGTCCGGGATGCCGAGCAAATCACCTCCTTCTCAGGATCCCAGGGCCTTTTTCAGGTTTTTCTACTGCTTAAGGTGGATTTGCTTTGACATGTTTCTGCCAGAAGACTGAGTGGAGAACCAGGATTCCTGGATTCTGGTTCTATCTCTGCCAGGGGGTCAGTTCCATAGGCTTTTCAACTGTCTCTCAAGTCAGATACTAATAAGTGTGTATGTGTGTTGAATCAGAAAATTACTCACTCTCTCCTCTGTTCCTAAGCTTTCAATACAACAAAACAGAAAACAATTTGGAAATTACTGCTGTTGGTTCATCCTGTCCCTTCTGGGGATAGGGGAGGTCAGAAAAGAGAAAGGAAATATTAGGAAAGAAATGTCAATGAATATTTTAAATATTTAATGTATTTTAAAATATTCTCCTACTATACTCAGGTCACAATTACAAGAGAAAAATTTTGAAGAATCTGAGGTAATCACTTTCATCTCAGGCAAAGCTTGGCAGGGTCATATAGACCCGCCTCTGGATTAGTTGTCCTTGGGTGAGGTGCCCACCCTGGTCCCTTCAACTGTAGCCAGAGGTATGGAATCCCAGAAATTTGATGATTTATGCAAAAGAAACCACCTGGGAACCTATGTAAGGGGACCATGGGCCCTGTCACCCTTCCTCAGAAGTCCCTTCACGTTAGTACAAAGGACTATGCGATTCTCACCTTCTCTCACGCTTGTCCTTTCCTCTTCCAGGGCCCTGCACTCCGAAGGGAAGTTCCCTAAAGGTAAGACCTGTTCCTATTGCAGAAAGTCACTAGAAGCTATCCTTCCAGGAGATTTACCAGAGGGAAATTTGCAAATACCGTCAGCCAAATTCCTCAAGTTCCATATCCATGTATTTAACAACCATATATCAAAATTACTTGGGGTTGAGGGGATGCTGTCTGTACTGAATATAAGTGTAACAACTATTTACATAGCATTTACATTGTACTAGGTATTATAAGGTGAGATGTTTTAAAGTATACAGGGAAGACATGCATAGATTTTATGCAAATAGTCTTGTCATTTTCTTTTCTCTCTCTTTTTTGTAGCAGGGATTGAACCCAGGGGACTTAACCACTGAGCCACATCCCCAGATATTTTTTATTTTTTACTTTGAGACAGGGTCTCACTAAGTTGCTTAGGGCCTTGCTAAGTTGCAAAAGTTGGCTTTGAACTTGCAATCCTCCTGCCCCAGCCTCCCAAGTCACCAGGATTACAGTTGTGTGCACCATGCCCAGCTACTCTGTCATTTTCTATGAGAGACTAGAGCATCATGGTATCTGTGCGGGTCCTAGAACAAATTTCCCTGAAGTTGAGAGACGATTGTACACAGAGGCTGCTCTCAGCAGAGCAGAGGCATACTTCCTGACTCAGATCTCTCAGGTTGTATCATTGGCAAGTGCCCTGTCAGCAGATTCTGGATGTGCAGAAAGACCATGTTTGTCTCCTCACCTGTCTAGTTTTCTCATAGGGTAGGTCTTTTCCACTTCTGGTATTCTGCAATCTGTTTATCCAAACTCAAATTCTAGCTCCCATTAATTAACCAAGATGTAAGTGCCTGACAGGTGCCTGATAGAATAAACTGCTTGAAAGAGAAACTCTTCCTAGCCCACAGGAAGGTATTTGACCCCATTTGATCATTTCCACATGACACTCCTGTTTAACCTTCTGAGTCAGTTTCAGGTTTGTCCTGCCTCACAGGAGAATATGAAAATTGAATCAATGAGGCTGGGCGTGGTGTTGCACTCCTAATCCCTGGCTCAGGAGGCTGAGGAAGAAGGATTGCATGTTTGAAGCCAGCCTTAGCAACTTAGTGAGGCTGTAAGCAACTTGGTAAGACCCTGTCTCAAAATAAAAAGTAAAAAGGTCTAGGGATGGGCTGGGGCTGTAGCTCAGTGGCAGAGTGCTTTCCTAGCATGTGTAAGGCACTGGTTCCATCCTCAGCACCACATAAAAAAATAAATTAATAAACAAAGATATTGTGTGTCCATCTGCAACTAAAAAATGTTTTAAAAAAAAAAAAAGGTCTAGGGATGTAGTTCAGTGGTTGAGTGGCCTTGGGTTCAATCCCTGGTACCAAAAAAAAAAAAAAATTGAATCAATGAGACATAAGTAGCATGTGCCCTTTCCAGATGGCTTTACTTAGCTTACCAAACTGTGAAGTCTTTGGAACATGACTAAAATTCATTTTATTTTTATATCAATCCTGCGAGAAGGGCAGGTCCCACACTGGCTATACAGAGCCAATGCAGCCAGGTGCAGTGGTGCACACCTATAATTCCAGCCACCTAGGAGGCTGAGACAAGAGGATCACAAGTTCAAGGCCAGCCTCAGCAACTTAGATCCTGTCTCAAAACAAAATAAAAAGAGCTGGCATGGAACTCAGTGAAAGAGCATCCCTGTGTCCAATTCCCAGTACCCTCCCCCTCCCCCCCCACACAAAAGCCAGATTCAGGGCTGGGGCTGTAGCTCAGTAGTAGAGCACCTGCCTTGCACATATGAGGCACTGGGTTCCATCCTCAACACCACATAAAAATAAATAAATAAATATATTATGTCCATCTACAACTCAAAAAATATTTAAAAGAAAAAAAAAAAAAAAAAAAGCCAGATTCAGTGGCATCTTAGTCCCAGCTACTTGGGAGCCTAAGGCTGGAAGACACTTGAGACCAGAAGATCAAAAGCAGGCTGGGAAGGGAAGGAGAGAGGGAGGAAGACTGAGATTCAGAGCAGTTAAGGGGCTTTCCCAAGTTCTTGAGCAGTTAGTTTTGGATCAGTTCTTGAGCAACAGAGCTAGAAATATGTCTCTAGCTCCCCAGTATAGAAATTCCTGTTTCCCTCGGCCTTGAGGTAGCCAGATCCGGATCTCTAGCTGCCCATCTCTTCTCAATAAGACACAGAGTGAGGTAGAGGGTAGCCAGCCAGGTCTCCTGTGGCCCTTTCACTCTTCCTCTCTGCAGGAATAATGGGCAAAGAGCAGCTTTGGTGCTGTGAAGACACCTGGCAACTCCAGCCCTGCCCTAAGCCATAGAGGTGGTGGGAGTTTTCGGGGGGAAAATCTGACTGGGAGCAACAAGGCTCTTTACTTTTCTCCATCCCCTCCCCACCAGGGTGTTCTGTGCTCACACTTCAGTCTGTGAATGTGCTGCGCAAGTATCTCTTCCTCCTGGACCTGCTCTGGTCTCTGCTGCATACTCAGGACATCCTCTTCATGCTCACCAGCGAAGAAGTGGCACAGGCAAAGGTGAGGATTACAAATTCCTGGACACCTTAGTCAGATCTGGGCCAGGCCTCTTGGCTTCTCAAAATTCTGCTCTGCAGAGGCAATTCCCATAGTCCTTTCACAGCGGCTTAGCATCTCCCCCTGAGTTTTACTACTAAGCCAGCTAGACCTTGGCAGGCAGAAATTTTCAATGACTTTGAACTTTTTTCCTGATTACAGTAAAACAACAAAGAACCTAAATTACATATACTCCTTATAGAGAATCAAGAAAATAAAAGTAAGAAATAAAAATTATCCACAGTCCCACCACTCAGAAGTAATCATCATTAACATGTTGGGCTACATGCTACTATTATATAATGGGATCACACTTTGTTTACTGTTTAAAATCTGCTTTCTTGGGCTGGGGATGTGGCTCAAGTGGTAGCGCGCTCGCCTGGCCTGCGTGCGGCCCGGGTTCGATCCTCAGCACCACATACAAACAAAGATGTTGTGTCCGCCGAAAACTAAAAAAATAAAATAAATATTTAAAAAAAAAATAAAATCTGCTTTCTTTAACAAAATATTATGAATATTTTCTCCTATGTCACTAAGTGTTCCAACTATAATGCCTGCCTATAATTCATTTGTATGGATATACCATAAATATGTCATGAATTCCTGATCATTAGATATTTCAGATTTTCCAGTTTTCCAGTGCTCCTAGCTTGAGTCTAAAAGGAATTCAGACCTGCCAGGATCCTCTGTAAAGAGCCAGTGGGGCAGACAGCCGAAAGCCCATTTGCGAACTGAGGAAGAACCAGACCCACCCATGCCCTCCTAGTGAAAGTTTAGCTGTCAGTGGGGCAGGTGATTGTCAGAATCATTAGAGATGAGGAGATGAGACGAGCTCCAATTTGTCTCCAGGTGCAATCTGTAGAAGACTTAAGTCCACCTCAGAGACACAGGTAGCCTTATTTTCTCAATAAGCATTTATTCCTACTAAAAGGCACTTTGCTAGATGCTTAGAATGTATGTTGAGCAGAAATATTAATCCTCTCTTGTTGCTTTAATAGTTCATTAATTTTTTTCGTTATTATTTCTGTCCTCCTCTATTCATGCTTTATTCTGGTTTTTTTTTTTTTTTTGAAAGGTTAGGCTTCTTTTTATTTTCAGTCTTTAAAAAAAACTATACTTTAGGGCTGGGGTTGTAGCTCAGTAGTAGAGTGCTTGCCTCACCACGTGAGGCCCTGGGTTCCACCCTCAGCACCACATAAAAACAAATAAATAAAAATATTGTGTCCATCTACAACTAAAAAAATTTTTTTAAAAAACCGTACATTAATACTATTAATTTCCTTTAATGTAATCCTTTAAGTTTCCATTGTGAGTTTCTTTTCAATCCATGAGGTTTCAGGGATGTATGTTAGAGTTTGCAGATGTTTTTCAACCTTTATTATTTGCAGTTCCATTTTTGCCTACTTACAAAAATTTATCTGTAACTCAAAAATCAATTCTAGTGTGATCTCAAATAATACAAGCATATAGCCCAACATGTTAACAATGATTACTTCTGAATGGTGGGATTATGGGCAATTTTTATTTCTTATTTTTTGCTTTTGTGAGCACTGACATAGTCATTTACAAAGCAGTGAAAAATTTGAGCCACACATGCATGTTTCCAGGAAGATTGAGGCAAAACTACCTTGTTTCAGTCTCATACTACAGAAAAAGTATCCTTTTAGTGATGTATTTAATGCCACATTTTCTTATTTTATGATTTTTGTTGATTTTACTGTTTAAAATGACTGAAGTAGCCAGGCGCAGTGGTGCACACTCAGGAGGATCACAACTTCCAAGGCCAGCTGGGCAACTTAGCAAAACCCTATCTCTAAGGGCTGGGGATGTAGCTCAGGTTTTTTTTTTTTTTAAGTCTGAAATACAAGGCTGAAGCTGTCTAGTGTCCTTAAACAAAAGAGGCTATGATAGGCCTTATGGAAAAAATAGATATATTAGATAAGCTTCATCACACACATGAGTTCTAGTGCAATTGGCACTAGTTCAATGTAAATCAATCAGCAAAGTGTATATTAAATAATTTCTCTTTAAACAGGAACACACATAAAACAATGTTATATATTGATGTGTTAATGAAAATGTGACCAGAGACTCACAGGAATGAGCAGTAGTCCAGTATTCACTAATTCAGTGTTCTAGTGACTTGATAGAATGGCCACAAATAATGAGAATATTCCTTTGTTGTTGATTTTTTAATGTAACTGTTTTGTGATCAATGAGTTTTGTGATCAATTATTTTATGCTTTTATCAAAGCATAAAATAAGAAAATGTGGCATTAAATACATCACTAGAAGGATAATTTTTCTGTAGTGTGTAACCTGAAACAAAGGTAGTTTTGCCTCAATCTCCCTGACTCACAGCTTCAAGTTTGGGTCCCCAGTCTAGCAGAACCCACAATGCTCCCAATCTTCCTGGGCCTTCAGTCAGTGAGCCCTCCACTTCAACCACTCATACTTGTTTATATTTTGTAGGTTCATGATACTGTTGGTTTTAGTTTTGACCCATCTGCATCTTTTTTTTAATCCTCTTTATATTTTTCTACCATGACTACAATATGGAACAGGAAGCATAAATTTGTCGCATCTTGACCAAGTAAGAACAGCCAAAGTATTTTGAGAATAAGAAAATTAAAAAGCCAGGCACAGTGTCACATGCCTGTAATCCTAGCAACCTGAAGACCAAGGGCAGAAGGATCGCAAATTCGAGGTCAACCTTAGGAATTTACTGAGACCCTGTATCAAAATTAAAAAACAAAAGGGGGGGTGGGGGGCTGGGGATGTGGCTCAAGCGGTAACATGGTAGCGCGTTCCCCTGGCATGGGTGCAGCCCGGGTTCGATCCTCAGCACCACAAACAAAGATGTTGTCTCTGCGGAAAACTAAAATGTAAATAAAATATTTTTTTAAAAAAAGGGTTGGGGGTTTAGCTCAGAGGTAGAACACCCTGACTTCAATCCCCAGTGAAGGAAAGAAAAAGAGAGGGAAGGAGAAAGAAAGAAAAGGGAGAAGGGGGAAGAGAGGGAGAAAAGAAGGGGAGGAGTGGAAAAGAAAGAACAAGTAACTTATTTGAACTTATTTGCTAGCAAAGTGGAAAAGATCATTACTGAAGCTTTAAATGAAATGGGTTTATAAATTGTTACAGCCTTTTAAGGAAACAAAAGTAATGAATGTCAGAAGGGTTTCAGAAATTGTTCTTACCTTTGCATGTTTTTGATACATTAAGCAAAAACCAACAGGTTACAGAACAGATTTATAGAGTATCTAGATGGTGGAATTTAATGTGAATTTTATCTTTTTCTTTTAAAATATAACTAATTATACTATTTATAGAAACTCTCGTCCAATAATTTATACTTTTAGAATTTTATCCTAAGGAAATGAACAAAGATGTGTCCAGGAACTTATATGCAATGTTATCATTAGTATAATTTTTAAAAACATTTTTTTAGTTGTACATGGACACAATACCTTTATTTTATTTATTCATTTTTATGTGGTGCTGAGGATCGAACCCAGTACCTCACATGTGCTAGGCAAGCATTCTACCACTGAGCTATAACCACAGCTTTCATTAGTATAATTTTTAAATATTTATTTTTTTTAGTTGTAGTTAGACACAATACCTTTATCTTATTTATTTATATGTGGTGCTGAGGATCGAACCCAAGGCCTTGCACATGCTAGGCGAGCACTCTACCGCTGAACCACAACCCCAGCTCCTCACAGTAAAATTTAGAGTAGCTAAAATAGGAACAATATTCAGCAGGTGAATGAAATAGTAAGCCAGCCTTATTTTGAAGAATATTTAGTGAAAATGCTCCGAAAGCAGAAACACAAAACTTTATACCCAATTTTGATTTTTATGGGGCTATTCCTTCTAACTTTTGAGCAAAAACAATAATTTAAAAAATACACTTGGTAGCTGGGCATGGTGGTGCATGCCTGTAATCCCAGCAGCTCAGGAGGCTGAGGCAAGAGGATCATGAGTTCAAAGCCAGGCACTAAGCAACTCAGTAAGACCCTGTATCTAAATAAAATACAAAATAGGGCTTAGGATGTGGCTCAGTGGTCAGGGACCCCTGAGTTCAATTCCCAGTGCCCAAAAAAATAAAAATAAAAAATACAGTTGTTAAAATACAATGAATAATTTTTTATTATTTTTTTAGTGGTCAATGGACTTTTACTTTATATGCAGTGCTAAAGATTGAACCCAGTGCCTCACACATGCCAGGCAAGTGCTCTATCACTGAGCCACAACCCCAGCCCCGACAATGAATAATTTTTGTAAGTGCCCATCTTATTGAAGGAATGTTAAAAGTCATTGAAAGATTTAAGCACTTGGGCACTATACTGTGGGAAACCCTTTTAACTTAGAATCTGTTCCAAGCTGACAGATCAAGTATGGTTTGGACTACAAAGGTCATCCTTTCTCCCAGTGCTTTTTTTTTTTTTAGAGAGAGAGAGAGATTTTTTTAAAAAATATTTTTATTTTTCAGTTATCGGTAGACACAGCATCCCTATTTTATTTTATGAGGATCAAACCCAGCACCCTGCGCATGCCAGGCGAGCGTGTTACCGCCTGAACCACATCCCCAGCCCTCTCCCAGTGTTTTTGTAAACATTTTGATTCTCAGCACCACATGTAAATAAAATAAAGGTCCACTGACAACCAAAAAAATATTTTTTTAAATAAATAAATCAACATTTTATTTTTATTATGGTTTTCAAAATATTAACATTATTCTCTTGAGTTCATGTATCCTTTTTGTTTTCTTTTTTTTAATTTTTTTTTTTTTTAGGTGGACACAATATCTTTATTTTACATTTATGTGGTGCTGAGAATTGAACCCAGTGCCTCATGCATGCTAGGCGAGTGCGCTACCACTTGAGCCACATCCCCAGCCCCTCCTTTTTGTTTTCTGATAATAAATTTCACTTATAATTTTCATTGTGTTTGCTGTGGAAAAAATACTATGTAACATTTTTCCTAGATTGTATAGTGAGATAGTTCTATTCCGATTCCCTTTACCATCCAAATCATGATTATCACAAGTAAGTTTACAGCTCTAAAACCACATATATTCTGACAATAAATATTTACATTTACATTAAGGTTTACATAAAGGTTTGCAATAATATTAACTTAGTTAAGTTATGGTACTTAGAGAACAATAGCAATTTTTTATATATATGTCCTACATAGTTAAACCAGTTACCATGATCTGTTTAAAAATGGAACTGTACTAGGTCCAAATAACAAGAAAATATACATTTCCTCTGTTAGGTGGGAAGACTAACCCATACCTGTGTACCTTCCTTTTTTTTTCCCAATAGTGATTATGTCTTCCAGTTTACCTAATTCAGAGAAGTCTGGGCATAGCATTCTAGCCTGCTTCCCCTCGGACACCTCTGTTTGTGTTGTATAGGTAAGGTAGCAGAGCAAAATGAGGCTCTAGAGTCCATCAGATGGCTCTGGGTTTGAATCTCGGCTCTGCTACCTACTAGCTATTTGAGATTAATGAGTGTCCTCATCTATTTACTGGGGGGAAAAAAAGCAATAATAATAGTACATACTATTATTAGAATAACACGGTTATTCACATTGAGATGATGATTGTAGACTGTTGTGCCAATAGTTAAGTGCTTTAGGTACCCTTAGCATCATCTGCTTTAATCACAATGAAGTAAGTAGGAGATGAGAAGGGAAGGTCAATCCAGAGTGGTTCATGGGCTATAGAACGAAACCAAATAATGCTATAGCACAAAGTATATTAGTGGGAGGAGGGATTTCTTTTTTTTTTTTTGGAGAGAGAGAGAGAGAATTTTAATATTTATTTTTTAGTTATCGGCGAATACAACATCTTTGTTTTGTATGTGGTGCTGAGGATCGAACCCGGGCCGCACGCATGCCAGGCAAGCACGCTACCGCTTGAGCCACATCCCCTCCCCAACCCCGGGAGGAGGGATTTCAGATGAGGAAACAACTCTGAGAGTAATAGAAATAGCTCCAGATCAAATGTCCATAACTGGTCCCCTTTGATTCTTCTAGAGAGCCATGTACTGCCATAGAAGCCAACTCCTCTGGTTCCGCCGCCTCTATATTCTCTTCTCCAGGTACATGAGAATCAACTCACTGCACTTCCTCTGAGGCTTTGAAGAGTTTTCAGATCTAAGGAACAAAGGAGAAAAGTAGATCAGGAAGACAAGGGGCCTGCCTGGAGATGGCTTATCTTCCTGAGTCAAAGGAGTTCCCAGCTAAGTGCCTCTGCAAATGGAGACCCTGTTGGCCAATGGGCTACCCAAACTCTGGCTTCTTCCTCTGGTGAGGGGGTCAGGGTGGAATGAAGAACTGAAAACAAACCAACCCAAGGATAATACAAATTCTTGTGAAAAATAATTTGCATAATGACAAAGCGTATGTCAAACACCTAGCACAGAGCCCAGACAAATTGCTGTTATCACAAATGAATGCAGAATGTACTAAAAACACTTACAGGTAGGATCTTTAATTGCTTCTGAAGTAGGCTGTCTTAGTTTTGGGTTGGTATAAATGAATACCACAGATTGAGTAATTTATAAAGAACTGAGGTTTATTTAACTCTTGATTCTGGAAGCTGGGAGCAAGACACAGGCTTCTGCTTGACATTTAATGAAGAGCTTCCTGATCATAATAAGGCAGCGGGCATCACATGGCAAGACAGAGCAAGTTAGCCAAAGTGCTTATTTCTATAACAAAACTACTCCCATGATAATTCATTAATCTGTAAATGACCCAGTCCTCTCCCAGAGATCCTACCTCTTAACACTAATGCATTGGGAACCATATGTCCAACACATGGATGCCAGGAGACATGTCCAAATCATAGATTTACTGAAAATACATGAGCCAGGTGCAGTGATGCACACCTATAATCCCAGCAATTTGGGAGGCTGAGGCAGGAGGATCCCAAGTTCAAGGTCAGCCTCAGCAACTTAACAAGACTCTATCTCAAAAATATAAAATAAAAAAGAACTGAGGATGTAGCTCAGTGGTAAAGTACCCCTGGGTTCAATTCCCAGTACCAAAAAAGAATAGCACGTGTACGCGCGCGCGCACACACACACACACACACACACACACACAAATATTACAGTCTATTGAATTAGTTCAACCATAATTCCCTAAATTTTTTTCTGGCTGGTTTACCTTTTTATCGGAGCTGGAGAAATCATCCTCTATTTAACATGACAATCATGGATTGATGCACCCAAGTGTCCTTCACAGTTATGGGCTCTGTTGTATGCAGAACAGACTGCCTGAGCCTGACTCTCAAACACTTATAACTGAATATCTCAGCTCAGTCTTGGGAGAAGTAGGAAATAGGAAGATAAATCTGGAACTTTAAAAAAAACACTTAAGAACCTGATGTCTTTAAATGGTTCAACAAATAAAACTTTCTGAGAGGATTGGCTTGTAAGCTATAGGCAAAGTTCAACCCATGGTCCAGAAAAGTGGCTTGAGATGGGGAAACTTAGTTGTGAAGAGAGCGGCAAGTGACTCTAGGTTTGAAGCCAGAAGACAAGCAACATAACTATGACAAGACACAAGATTCTCTATCTCAATTCTCTCATCTGAATAATGGTTTAACTTCAGAGAACGGAACAAAAGGATGTCTTAGGGTACATAACAAAGAATCTAGCTCTCGGTGCCAGGAAAGATTAGCTGCTGTTGTTTTTCTGAGAAATAATCAAGTAGGCATTAAGCATAAGGACTAACATACATAAAAGTCCTGAGACAAAAGATCCTGGTGTGCTTTGCCTGCCCAGTGAGTATCCCCAACCTGCAACATAAAACCGGGGAATTGCTTCCTGCATAGCAACAGGTTGGAGATCTGCTTGTTTAGACTCTCCACCCAACTTGTACCACTTTACTCAATGTCACCATTATTTTATATGCCTCCTAAGACCACATGAGACTGACAGAACTATTAGGCCCTGAAGCTGAAATTGAAAAAGCAAATCTGGTTGTGTGATTTGTCCACTGAAAATTTGTCAATATCTCCTAAAATCTTCCACATAAAAGTATGACCAAAAGCAAGCTACTAACATTGGCTGGAATGTGGTGGCAGGGGGTGACCTCTGTCTTGCTACTAGGAAGACAAACACTAAACTAGTCTTTCCTTTCTGATCCAAGGAAATACTTAGAAAGTGAAAATGACACACACAAAGATCATCATACTATTACTTACAATAGCAGTACTGGAAAAATCCAGTGATGTAATAGTTTTATAACAAAGAAAATGTTCATAATATATTAAAAATTTTAAAGCAAGTTAGGAATCTCATTTTTATTAAATGAATATACAAATATATAACATGCAAATATATAAGTAGATATATATTTGATATCTAAATCCATAGGTAAATACTAACTAGGAAGGTCATCTTTCAACAGTGGACATTTATAGTTATAAAAGAGTTATTGTTGTTTATGAATAAGTATTGTTTTGTTTTGGTACATCCCCAGCCCTTGTTATTTTTTATTTTGAGAAAGGGTATCCCTAAGTTGCTGGAGGCTAGCCTCAAACTGCTTCAGTCTTCCCAAGTTGCTTGGATTACAGGTGTGTGCCACCTCACCCTTCTATGAATAGGGTTTTTGGGGTAGGTGTGGGGCATACCGTGGAATAAACCCAGTGGTACTTAACTAGTGAGCCACATCCACAGCCCCTTTTTTTTTTCTTTAGATGTTGATGGACCTTTTATTTTTAATATACCTTTATTTTATTAATTAATTTATTTTTATATGGTGTTGAGGATTGAACCCAATGCCTCACACATGCTAGGCAAGTGCTCTACCACTGAGCCACAATCCCAGCCCCACTTTTTTATATTTTATTTAAAGACAGGGGTCTCACTGAGTGATTTAAGACCTCGCTAAGTTCCTGAAGCTGATTTGAATTAACAATCATTCTGCCTTAGACTCTCAAGCTGCTCGGATTATAGGCATGTGCCACCACACCCAGCCCTATGAATAGTTTTGATGTGAGAGATACTTTTTTTAAAATATCTTTATTTTTATTTATTTTTATATGGTACTGAGGATCAAACCCAGGGCCTCACACGTGCTAGGTGAGTGCTCTACAGCTGAGCCACAACCCCAGCCCCAAGAGAAATACTTTTGATACAATGTGAAGCCAAAATAATTTGTATAGCCAGTATAATGTCACACATAAAAAATCCGATTAATTAAAGAAAAGCTAGCTGTTTTTACATTGCTGGTGGATTATAAAATTATGGAGGACCATTTGGTAATTTCTAGAAAAATTATATACACTTTTTTAAAAAAATATTTTTAGTTGTAGATAGACACAGTATCTTTATTTTTATGTGGTGCTGAGGCTCGAATCCAGTGCTAGGCAAGCACTCTACCACTAAGCCACAAACCCAGCCCCAAAATTGCATACGCTTTGATCCAGTATTACCATATCCATGAATTTATACTATAGATTTACTCCACATGACTAAAGAGGTATGTCAAAATAGACATTGAACCGCTACTTCTTTTTTTATACATTTTTTAAATTGTAGATGAACACAATATCTTTATTTTAGGGGCAGAGGATTGAACGCAGTGCCTCACACATGCTAGGCAAATGCTCTACCACTGACCTACAACCCCAGCCCCAAAACACTATTTATTTCTCTTTTTAAATTTATTTTTTAGTTTTAGGTGGACACAATATCTTTATTTGGTTTTTATGTGGTGCTGAGAATCGAACCCAGTGCCTCTTGCATGCTAGGCAAGCGCACTACCACTTGAGCCACATCCCCAGCCCCAAAACACTATTTCTAATAGTAAAATATTGAACTGGTTCAAAGGTCTCTCAATTAAGGGTTCATTAAATAAACTTCGGACACACCAATAGAATAGATTATGAGTTGGCATGCTAGCAGACTCCCAAATCACAGCAGCTCAGGAGGCTGAGGCAGGAGGATCACAAGTTCAAAGCCAGCCTCAGCAACTCAGCTAGGCTCTCAGCAGCTTAGTGAGACTGTCTCAAAATAAATAAGGGGGGGGTGCTGGGGATGTGGATCAGTAGTTGAGCATCCATTAGTTCAATTCCCTAGTACTTAAAAAAGAGATTATGACAAAACTATTTTTAAATAAATAAATAAAATACAAAATAGGTCTGGGGATGTGGCTCAGTAGTGAGTACCCCTGAGTTCAATCCCCAGTACCAACAACAACAACAAAAAAAGATAAAAAAGAACAGAGCCAACAGCCACTGGAGAAATTAGGAAGGCAATTGTAATAGATTTACCAATTATAAGATGTTCCTAGCCCAGATGGTTTTACTACTGTTTAAAGCATAAAATAGACAGTTCCTCCAATTCTTAGATAAAACATGAATTACCACAAAAAAAGAGAAAACTGACAATTTTATTGTGAATATGGATGCAAAAATATAAAAGATTAGCAAATTGAATCCAACAATGCAACAAAAGAATCACTACTCTACAATCAAGTAGGGTATTATTCCAGGAATGCAAGAATGGTTCTACTTAGGGAAATCCATTAAAGTAATTCATTATATATCAGCAAGTTAAAAAGAAAAACTATATTCGTGTACTTAATAGATGCTGAAAGATGACAAGATGCAGCCATTATTCCTGATAACAACTCCTAAGAAAAATAGGAGGAAAAAAAAAAATATATATATATATATATATATATTGAAGACCCTACCAAAATCCAGCATATTAAAACTAACTCAAGGTAGAATTTTCACTTTTATGGCTATTTATCCATTCTTTTCTCTTTTCCTTAGAGTTTCCATGTGTTGGCTTATTTCATTTTTCAAAGAAAAATATCCATATGTTTTGAAGGATCAAGCTGATAAAGGGACACAGAAAAATAAAAAACTGGTATAAGTATTAGAAAAGACAACTGTGGGGGCTGGGGATACAGCTCAGTTGGTAGAGTGCTTGCCTTACATGCACAAGGCCCTAGCTTCAATCCCCAGCACCACACACACAAAAAAAAAGAAAGAAAAGAAAAGACAACTGTGTTAGAAACGCAAGAAATACTAATAAAGTCTATAATAAATGAGAGAATTTTAGATTTCTTATATTGGGTATTACTTGACAGAAATGAAAATGGAATGTCAAGAACTTAAATCAAGAAATAACTTCAGCATAAAAATACAAGTTTGGTTGGTTAGTTTGTTTTTTTATAGTGGTCCTGAGGATCCAACCCAAGGCCTCACATATGCTAGGCTGAGCTACACCCTTAGCCTAAGGAAGATTTATATTAATTTTACAATTACTATTAAAATTTCAGTCATTTTTTAACTGTACAACTCTTTTTTTTTATTAGAGAGAGAGAGAGAATTTTTAATATTTATTTTTTTCAGTTTT